GAATGCTCACCAAGGCTGTGTTTATTTAATCAAAAATACAGTAAACAAAATAATATGAAATATTTGTACAATTTAAAATGTTTTTGTATTTTAGTATATTTTAAAATGTAATTTATTCCTGTGATGCAAGCTGAATTTTCACCATTACTCCAGTCTTCAGTGTCACATGATCCTTGTTAAAAACAACTTGTGTGTATATATATATATATATATATAAATCTATTTTCCAGGATTCTTTAATTAATAGAAAGAAAACAGAAGATCAACATTTATATGAAATCTTTAGAAAAATTATAAATGTCTTTACTGTCACTTTTTTTTTATCAATGCGACTTTGCTGAATAAAACTATTAACTATTATTATATTATTAAAATAAATAAATAATAGAAAAGAAAACAAAAATTGACCCCAAACGAATGGCGATGTGTTCACGTGACAACTTTCCAGTGAACTAGAGGTAGATATCAAATGTGTTTGATTTGGCAAAGCTCAATCAGGATTTGCAGAATCTGACCGCATCAGAGGCTGGATTAACTCGTTTTTCTTATTGGCATATCAGCTGATGGGGCTCATTATAGGACAGCTGCTTCCATGTGTATCTGATTCACCATCTGCATACTACAGACCGCAGGTTGCCTTTATTGACAGGACTATGAGAGCTGTTCTTCTGTACGGTGATCACCTCCCACACATTACTGTAATTGAATGTCAAATATAATGAGTTTGCTGTCATTGCTGACAAACCAGCTATGCCTCTGATCAGCTCACACACACACGGTTCTCAACTTTCATTACCCAGATTTTACATCAAGCATCAAGTGGAGACCCATCACTATCAAAATTGTGTATTAGAAGCATTTTCTTAATTTTGCTAATATTTTGCTATAACTACTGTATTGACGGTTATATTTATTATTTACGTTTTATCTCTTCTGTCCACAATCCTATCAAAACAGACTTGTAACTTATAATCAGACTCACTGAACATATCAAATTCATAAGAACAAGACTGTGAACATCTCTTCTGGAATCTCATCAATGAGAACACAAACCCTGCTGATGAGTTTCCCTGTCTAAACATGTCTGATACTTCACACACAGTGCTGATAATGAAACATACAGGTGCATCTCAATAAATTAGAATGTCGTGGAAAAGTTCATTTATTTCAGTAATTCAGCTCAAATGCTCAAAGCACAGCTCAGCCTCAGGGTCAGACCTGAGACCACAACAGCTTTCAAAGAAGAACTAATATGACACACACCTCTCTCATTCACTCCTTCCTCTCTCCACCATGCGTCAAACCATTCCTGAACAATTTCATCTGCAACAGGTTCAATAGAGTCCAGTTTGTAGTTCACACAACCCTGAGACTGACGTCAAGACTGACCTGCATCAACCAACAGAACTCTGGTTAATTTGTAATGAGCCATCTGACTTGTTTACATTTGATTTTTTTTTATCTTAAAAAGACTTTAAAGGTATTTTTAATTAAAGGAATTAATTAAAGGATTTAGGCATGTAAAGAAAATGAAAGAGGATTATTTTTTAATAAAAAATAATTGTTTGCCAATAATATTTTATATGCCTAATATTTTCTAAATGGAGAAATGCTTCTTGTCTTGTTGCATTCAGTTATGAATTACATGAATCACATACATGTTACCCTATATTTCTAACCCAAAATATTGTCGTAAATTATTAAAATATTGTAGAATATTAAATATTGGGGAAAACTATTTGGCCATCAATGGATCTTTCATAACTTCTTGTCATATATTGTCAAACATCAAATATTGGGGGGCAACAATCTGGCCATTAAAAGTATAAATGTAAAAAAAATTTGGCCATCAAAAATTTGAAAAATTAAAGATGTAACTTTTAAAATAGTTTGTCAAATATCAAACTGAGGTGGACAATTTGATCACATCTTCAGGGAAGTCATCAAAACTACGAAGTAACACAAGTTGAAGTATGAGAACATATGCACTGAAACACTATTTTATGATAAGGGCTGTCTTGGAAGTCTGTTATGGACTTTCCTCTAATGGGATCAAAATAGCATTAGCCTATCTGCAATAAATATGCAGGTTAGGAAGGCAGGATTGTGTCAGGAGTACATGAACTTGTAGTAGAGCGCTTTAATATCCACTACATATTACAAGTGAACTGTTTGTCAAAGGCCTTTGTGCTGCTCACAAAGGAATTTCAATTGCTGTGTTCCTCCCCTTTTAACATCCCTAATGTTCCTTCTTCTCTGCCAGCTTTGATGTGAAAAAGACTTTAAGTGACAAAGGTGAAGTGGGGTCATGTGAACTGCATGCTGGTCTTTAGCCTCCGATGTTGTTGAGATTAGCTCACAAACTATTAGCAAACATGCTATTGTAGTGAGTGATCTTGAGTGGTCTGTTGTACTTTGGAAAAGATTACTAAGGCAAGCATCACTATTTCTCATATTTACAGGTAAGGTATCTAAACTATACTATAAGTAGAACTGTAAGACTATTAGCATTTAACGCACAAATTAGCCTATTTGTAGTGTGTAATGAATGTGAGTCCTAGCTGTAATACCTGCCTCACTAATTAGTCAAACCCACATAATTTAGCCATTAGTGGTTGTGCATCCCAAAATGTACCAGAAGAGGGAAAGACCGAAAACAACTGCTGGGAAAACTAGGCTGGGATGTAACAAACATGAGTGATCCCTCAAATCACGCAGCTTGTTGAGAAAAGGTGTGGTATTATTATTTAAAAAGATCTGGAATTGCCATTTCTTCACAGCGGATTATAAAACCAAACTATTTTACATTTGGACTTCCTGTTCCTGTTGCCTCTGCTGCATGGTTTGGAGATCAGTTAATTTTGGACTTTTAATTCATTCGTCTTAATTATTCATTTGCAATTCTTAGTTTTTAAATTTAATTTAATTGTAATCTATCGTAAACTTGATTTTCCAATCTTAATTCTTAATCACAAATATTTAATTTCAATCTTAAACTCATGGCATCATCTTTGGACATCCTATACTTACACCACAATTTGTAAGATTTAATTTGTACGAAAATGTATGCTGCTTAGAAAATAATTGTAAAAAAAAAAAAAAAGGCATGAAAGCCCATGCACTTCTAAACCCCCTAAACCAACTATAATGGGGCTTAAGCAAATCGTATGAAAAGATCATATGAATTCACACCAATTCGCCAAAATGTAAAATTGCTACAATAGCCATGAGAGTGTGTTGGATGAAACATGAAAATCCCACAGACTTTAATGGAGGGACTTAAGCCATATATTATCTACAGACCAGAATACCATGTTGGAGTGGGCTCTTTTAACTTAGGCTAATAGGTGACCACCTAGCAACCGTCCGGAACACCCTAGCAACTGCAGAGCAATGGCCTATAATTCAATCATAACACCTTAGCAACTGCATAGCAATGGCCGCTAGCAGCAAGTTTTGCATAAGCAAACATCACTTACATTGAAATTAAAACGTAGTTTCATTATATTGTATATACTATGCATAATGTTAATATGCAGTAATATTATCAATTTGAAATTGTTTAAATTCAGAATCGTAATTGTTTATAACTGATGAATTTTGCAACATCGATACTTTTGCTGAACTAAATTGAAGTGAGCTAAATAATAACACTGTTGTCTTCTGTAGACCCAGTTAACAGGGAACGCTCTCAGAACTTTAGCTAACATTCTAGCAAGGTTCTCTCAAATTTATGAACAAATGATCTTCCAGTAACATCAATAGAATGTTAGTTCAGTTATCTAGTCTTTAACAAAGTTCTCAAAATGCTGGCACAAAAACATTATTTATGTTTCATGGTTTAAAAAAAACTCTTAGTTTGACGTTCGTCTAACGCTTTTAAAGGAACACTCCACTATTTTTGAAAATAGGCTCATTTTCCAACTCCCCTAGAGTTAAACAGTTGAGTTTTACCGTTTTCGAATCCATTCAGCCGATCTCCGGGTCTGGCGGTACCACTTTTAGCTGTAGCTTAGCATAGATCATTGAATCTGATTAGACTGTTAGCATATCGCTCAAAAATGACTACAGCGCCTGAAAATAGTCCCCAGCACGCTCCCTGTGCAAGCAGGTGGTCACGTTGGTTACGTTGACAGAAGTTGACGCTGCGTAATATCATTGAGCCTGCTGCACCCATGGTACGGCAGCAAAGTTCCTTGATTATTACGCCGGAATGAGAGTATAGTTCCTAGCCATATCGGCCTAGAAAATCGGCAACTTTTCATTTTCCGTCGGTCTTAGTACACGATGTAACTACAGAAGAGTCAAGTTTTAAATAGGAAAAATATAGAAACTCTTTGGTCATTTTTGAGCGAGATGCTAACGGTCTAATCAGATTCAATGATCTATGCTAAGCTACAGCTAAAAGTGCTACCGCCAGACCCGGAGATCGGCTGAATGGATTCGAATAGTGGAGTGTTCCTTTAAATGTTACTACTTATTTCAGAATGTTCCAAGAACATTCATACGTAATCTCCCCATAATGTTTTCCAAAATGATAAAATGCATTGTTGTATTCCTGTTTATTACTGTGAAGCTGCTTTGAAACAATCTGTATTGTATAAAGTGCTACATTAATAAAGGTGACTTGACTTGAAAGTAATTAAGTTTGCACTAACAAATTATGGCCAATTAATTCAAAATGTGTTATAAATATGTTATTATACAATGCTGCATCTCAAATAATTGATCTTGCTTAAAAAGACTGAACAATTAAGCTTAAGAAAATTGATGTGTGACAAATGTACATGCACATGTTGGTAAGAAGAATTTTGAGTGCAGATCAGCAAAGGTCAACACGAGAAAAAAAAATACAAAGTGAGACTGAGAACCAGATCAGACTCCACCCAGAGGCAGAAAATAAAGCAGAGAGAGAGAAAGAGAGGGAGGAGGGTTATGAAGCACTGAAACACTGAGATTAGGACTGCGGGAAATCTCTCTCTCTCTGTCTGTCTGCCTTTCTCTCAGCCTCTGTACCTCCTTCTGAGCCCCTCCTCTCGTGTTGACATGGTTTCATTTGAATGTCTCTCTAAATACACAGCTTTTGCCACTTGAGATCTCAGTTGTAGTTGTGATCTGTTAGCATGCTCATCTGACCCTGCAGCTGACAGGTAAATTAGCTGCTGCGTTCTGGACTTCTCTGCGCACATGAACAGAAGGGAAGAAGAGGGGAAAAGCACAGGCTTGTGGATGTTCAAGACTTTGATTACAGCTTTCTGAGTATTTTGGCTCTGTCTAGTTTGAACTGCTTGTTAATGATTAGCATTTAAGTGGATAAGGAAGGACTTTCCTGAGAAGTAGTACAGAAGAACATGAATTTTCATTTAGTTTGTATTGTGTATTGAGATATTACCCAGTGCAAATCACACATATTCGTGAATTAAAAAAAAAAAAACCTTATTAAGTAGCGAATGGCTCATTTGTGTTAAACTTATTCTTTTATTAAAATTAAACAATGAGGGACAGACTCTATTCTGGACAGTTCAAGGAACAAAGAATACAGGACATAAAGGCATCTTGACCAGCAGACAACTTTCTGAATTTCATGTTTTGGAATTTTTTGTGGCCAATCAAAAGTTTGTAAGGACATTTTTATTGACAAATCAACATCTAATGGAAGGACAGCATAACTTGGTACCATCCTTATCCTCCCTACTTGCACTGCAGTTGTTTCTGCTTCTTCTGCCACTGACAGAAAGTGTGACCGTAGTGCCATGGAAACCCTGTACAGGTGAGATACCGCACATAACCCTACTTATTTGCTCTCTAATAAACAGTATTTTAATGCAATAGCTGAATAATGTTGATTTGCGTTCTCTGTGTTGTATGACCCTGGTACTACAATCTGTTTACCTCTCTATCAGTAGACATTGTGACTTCCTTCGTAATAAAATTCTTCAGATTAGATCAGATCCAGACTGTAAAGATCTTGAATGAAACTGTAAATCCTCAATCTGAGTGTTGTGTGTATAGAAAAGTTGTTCTTCAAATATGGACTAATTTCCCCCATTTCATTCACAATTGTGGTGAAAATTATTATGGAAATTGTATTTTAAATATGTTTAAATTAAAAATTCTAACTGTTTTGGGCGAAAACTACTAGACTACTTTTACAGCTAGAATGTTATTTATCCTAATCACACCCAATTAGATGATATTTTTACACTTTTCACATAATTACAACATTACAGGTCAATTGGAAATGACATGTGAAAAGAAAACCTAGATATTTTGTTTTCTCACACATCTTGTGTTTCATATTTCTCTTGAGAATTTATTTAATTAACATGGTAGTGTCCTTGGTAGCCACTTTATCAAACTTTATTAGGGACAACTGTTTGTGAAGGTGGAAATTATTCTTTTTAATCATATTTCATTTTCACACAATAAAGTCTGATTTGTTATTATCACACATTCTAATTAAAAACATGGTAGGCATGCATCACACAGGCCACCAAAATGTCACTTAAAGGGATAGTTCACCCAAAAATAAAAGTTCTGTCATCATTTACTCACCCTCAATTTTTTTCCAAACCTTTATGACTTTCTTTCATTTGCTGAACATGAAAGAAGATATTTTGAAAATGTTGGTAATCACACAATTGCTGGTCCCCACTGACTTCCAAAGTGTGGAAAAAGTCAATAGGGAACAGTTACCAACATTCTTCAAAATATCTTTTGTTTTTGGAACAACTTGAGGGTAAGAAAATGATGACAGAAATTCATTTTTGGGTGAACTATCCCTACTAATTTGTGAAATCTGTGCCACACAAATGCTTTCACTATGAATGATGGGCAGCTTCACAAGACTGGTGGCGTATCCATGTTGTCATGCTGATTCACAGCTTGGTCTCTAAAATGGAAAAATGGGAAACTCTTTCCAAACCCGGCAACATCCCTGGGGCATAAATTCTCCCCTTTTCATACCACAAATGCAATTACATTAGATACCAATGCAAAAGAAATGAGAAAATGAAAAATGTCAATATGAAAAAGAGTTTACCAAAGTAAATTCCTTAAGTGGTATTTTAAAATATTACTTTTGTATGTCAAGAACAAACCATCTAAATAGTCCATAATTAGGGCAATGAGCTCAGCTGAAGGACTGTTATTACAATAGAAGCTGTAAATACCACAATAACGTGGATGAACCAAAGAATGTTGAGAATGTTTAGGGAATTGCAGTCCTGTCACCGAACATCTATAGATGACATCTCTTTGTCATCAGTGTGTGTGTGTTCTCATTTGAAGCATCTACACATTTATTTGTATTTTGGAAATTAAGAAAGAAAGTAAAACATAGCCAAGAGTATCAGTTGAAACTTATGCTGTCGTTACTTATGTCACTTTACATATTTAAGATTAAAACTATGTATAATTCTGAGCAAAACAATGGTCATATGAAGTCTTAGACTAATAAATGCTAATAAAATCATTACACGTTTTTAAACCATGTCATTGTATATATGAATGACAGTAAATCAAAGTTCAGGCCAGGGTTTTGTAAAGTCTGTGAACCTGGGAGAGCTGATAAATATTCTGTCTCCCCCTCTTTCCTCTGTATATTTTGCATGGATTGCAATTTGCATACTTTGGGAGATAAACTATATCAAGAGCTATTCCCATCCGCAGATGCAAAAATATATTGGCCACCAAAAGTATTCAGATACCTAAGCCACATGAATGGATTTGATAGCCTTCCTGTAGCTTAAAGGGATAGTTCACCCAAAAATGAAAATTCTGTCATTAATTACTCACCATCATGTCGTTCCAAACCCGTAAGACCTTCGTTCATCTTCGGTACACAAATTAAGACATTTTTGATGGAATCTGACAGCTCTCTGACCCTTCCATAGACAGCAAGGGTACTACCACGATCAATGTCCAGAAACGTAGCAAGGAGATCGGTAAAATAATCCATGTGACATCAGGGGTTCAACCGTAATATTACGAAGCTACGAGAATACGTTTTGTGCGCAAAAGAAAAAAAATAACGACTTTATTCAACAATTCGTCTCCTCCGTGTCACCCTAGCGCCATTTTGGAGAGTATCCACTGAACGACGAAGCTACGAACAACATGCACTGTTTGCGTTCAGTGGATACTCTCCAAAATGGCGCTAGGGTGACACGGAGGAGACGAATTGTTGAATAAAGTCGTTATTTTTTTTCTTTTGCGCACAAAACGTATTCTCGTAGCTTCGTAATATTACGGTTGAACCCCTGATGTCACATGGATTATTTTACCGATCTCCTTGTTTCGTTTCTGGACGTTGATCGTGGTGGTACCCTTGCTGTCTATGGGAGGGTCAGAGAGCTGTCAGAATGCATCAAAAATGTCTTAATTTGTGTTCCGAAGATGAACGGAGGTCTTACGGGTTTGGAACGACATGATGGTGAGTAATTAATGACAGAATTTTTGGGTGAACTAACCCTTTAAACAGCAAACGCCAAGGTCATGGGTTTGAGAGAGGGGGCAATGTTAAATTCAATGTAAGTCACTTTGAATAAAAGCGCCTAGCAAATGCATAAATTTAAATAGCATTAAATAACAATGTATAAAATCAGATGCTATTTATTTTAATGAATGATGGCACAAGCACACTTTTCAAGCATGCCATTTAACAAAAGGATATTTGTTTTCTGGTTTTAAATGATGCAACTATGGTCAGAATGAACACAAAAAATAATTTTGGACACTTACTGGTTATCAAACTTAATGGAATCAAGGTAGTCTGTAATACCTGGAGTAATCCATCCATTAGCGTTCCCATTTTCGATGGCAGTTATTCAGTTGTTGCAGACAAACTCGGAAGTATGCAACCTTCTTGCTCCCATCTTCGCTAATGGCCACTCAATTCTAAGCACAGAAGACAATCACCTGGATAATAAAAGTCATAATTACCACCACAGGAAAACATTATGTCCTGACAATGCTGATTGGTTGATGGTATCAAAAGAACACACACACAGTCCAAAACCTTTGACTAGCAAGTATGCTGAGGTTTTAAGAGCCCAATAAATAAATAAATAATTGGACCATGTGCTAATCAGTCAAACATTGTTTCTGGCATGGAGTCCTCAACTTTCTCCTCTTCCTCTCCAGATCTCCATCCAGTGGACCTGTTGTCTCGAGTGCTACCCCGTAACAGAGAGGCTCTGGCTGGGGTCCGTATGGCGCAGGAGGGAGGTGCTCGTGGGGTCCAGTTCTTCAGACCTACACAAGCACTCACCTTTCCATCGTCTCAGCTCTTCATTAACTGCCCTCTCTTCCCTGCAGAATTCTCCATAGTGGCCACTGTAAAAGTGCCTGACACCAGAATGAAGGTATGCTTATAAATGACAGACATTTAAAAGACATGTAATGTGCAGCTCCGCAAAGGGTCAAATGCTTGTGTCCAGGTCAACTTTATTATAGATCAAGTCACAAAAACTGTAAATTTCCTATTTGAAAATAGATATTTTACTCCAAACTCAAACAGGGTTGCTTTCTGGTGTGTTGTATTCATGTGATAATTTCACTAGGACTGTTCTTCCCTAATCTTTTGAGATAAGGCATACAGCAAAAAAAAAAAAAAATGGTGTCCCCAGAATGTGTCTGTGAAGTTTCAGCTCAAAATACTCCACAGATCATTTATTATATCATTTTGAAAATGCCTATTTTGAGTGGAAGCAGAAACACGCTGTTTTTCGGGCCTGTC